CAGTGTGTGTGCCCGCTAAAAGGATGAGGACGGCAAACTGGAACTATACTGAAATAAACGTATCTTTATTCTGCATTTTAAAATAACATGATGTCCGTAAATTAATTATGCCTCATGCACTGTCAGGTTTTTTTTATTTAAAGGGACAGTTTGGAATTTTAGACATAGGACCTCCTTTTCTAGTGAGCCAGAGTGTTGGAGACGTGTGGAGACACTTTTTAAAAATATTCTATCCAGTCTTTGTATTTGCAGAGGTCGCTGGTGCTAGGCTAGTGCATGTTAATGGCCATAGTTCTCCTGCCACAAAAAAACGTCTTACCCACTCCACAAAACACCCGAAGCAAATCTATTATTACGCCAGACTGTCAATGTAAATGTCTGTGTTGACAGAATAATGTTTGAAATAAACTAACCTTGCATCACATGAATGATCACATTTTGAGGGACTATTTTCTCATATATTAGTCCGCCGCTGCCAAGCTTTCTATCAGGAAATACAACTCGCAGCTGCTGCTCAGACATAAATCCTTCAAATGCAAGGTTGGTTTTCCTTCTAAAATTGTTCTATCAACACAGACATTCACATGGACAGTCTGGTGTAATTATCGAATTGCTTCTGGTGTTTTGTGGAGTGGGTAAGACGGTTTTTAGTGGCAGGCTAACTATGGCCATTGACATGCGCTAGCCTAGCACCAGCGACCTCTGCAAATACAAGGACTGGATGGAATATTTTAAAAAGTGTCTCCACACGTCTCCAACTCTCTGGCTCACTAGGAAATGAGGTCCTATGTCCAAAATTCCAAACTGTTGCTTTAATATTTAGTTTCTTTTGTTTGTTTTATTTATGTTTTGAGTATCATTATTTTTAAATTATGTATGATTTTATTATATTATTAAAATTTTTCATATGTGTGTTAGTTTTATTTTTCATGACTTTGTTTTATTTTGTTACTAATGTGCTATAAGCTCAAAATTATCCCAACTACCCCTACACTGTAAAACCGCATGTTCAAAGTAATTAAATAGATTTAGTTGTGCATACTCAAAGTTTTAGAAATAGTCCTACTAACTTAATTATGTCAACTTGCTGTAACATGTTCTTCTTTTTGTGTAATTTTAACTTTTTTTTTCTTTTTTTTTTTTTTTTTTTTTTCTTTTTTTAATTGTGGATATAAGTGAGCGTACCTCAGAAACATAGATGAGGTACAACTTAGTAGAATTAAGTAATTAAACAAGAATTATAAAGTCCTGCTTTCTCTATTGTTTCAATAGGGATGATTTAATAATAAACTTAATTTATATAGTACATGCTAAAATACAATACAATTTCAAAGCACTTCTCCAAATAAGTACTAAAATCATAACAAATAAATTGCAATCACACAGCATAATCGAGGCAAACGGCCTGAAATGCACATGGGTTTTTTAAATTATTATTTTATTTTAATGTTTTATTTTATATAATTATTTTCACTTTATTTTATTTTAAGTCATAATAAATTTTTAAAAAGTGCCTTAACAGAAAACTATGAGTCATATTAACTGCAAATATGTGATTTTTAAGTTCATCAACAAAATTTTGAGTTCTAATAACTTTACAGTGTAATCACTCACACACAAAATTCATTTTCAGTTGGGTGAAGTGCTTTGCCTAAGGACACAACAACTGTACACTCTGTTTTCACTGCTTCCCAATTACAGTATTCCCAATGGTCTCCCATCCCAGCGGACCTGACCCCGTTTATCTCCCAAGATCTCAAGGTTATAGAAGTAAGAATGTATGTATAAGTCTATTAGAGCAAATGGTTTCTTTATAGGATCACTTGAAAACGTTCTTAATACTACATACAGCAGTTCTGATTTAATGGATTTGCTTTCTTTCCCCATTCATTTGATCCAACCACTTCCAGATGAGAAAACAACAGCTGTAGTTAAGTCACTACAGATGTACAGGTTTGTTTTCAAAGATAACCTCTGTCTCTACGTGTCTAATATTTCAAAAAATTCGCCAAAATTTAGTTTGTTTCCTCATGTTTAGTTTTATTATCAAATCTTAGTAATCGTAAACTTTTAAATTCAATAAACCCAGACATTTTTATCACACATATTCAAGGCTCTTTAGAAGCATCTTGCCCAAGGACACACAGTCGATTTGCAGTATTCTGTAGGTTGAACAGGATTGAAACTCTTTGTCTTTACACTTGGTTTTCATTTTTTGCCACTAAATGTAAGTGTTAGGAATATGAGTATCACATTGGGGTGACAGTCGCTCAGTCGGTAGAGCATTTGTCCACTGACCCACAGGTTGGCGGTGCGATTCCACCTCCCACAAAGGCGTAAGACAATAAACTAATTGAGATTTTTCAGCTACTGTATTAGGTCAGATTCAACTGCTCTGTAGTCTTTTGTCACCACTGAAGGGATATTTTAAGACCTTTCACATGCGCAGCTTTTCTCCATATCTCTGGTATAAGCCGTTTGACCCGGAACTGAGGCTCTGCTCTGGAATTGGGGCCACTTAAAGCTGCACTGTGTAACTTCTAAATGCTTCTCTCCACGTCGCCTGGAATGTTCCACAGTATGACATTACACTTATTTATCTCTCCAGAGACAGCAGTTATAATAATAATAAATCTTTATTTATAAAGCACCTTTAAAAACAATGTTTACAAAGTGCTGTAAAAGCAGCAAAGAACTAGCCAAGCTGGCGCCACCTAGTGCCTCCGCTCAATTTCATTTCTCTGCAGTGACTAGGTCAGGAATCGGAATACACTAGACGGTTCACAAAAACCCCGGAAGTGCAGGGCACCAGTCAATCAACAAAGAGCCATACATTCTGTGTTGGCAATGATTCTCAAAATCGAGGATTTAAAGCCGGAACAAAGAGAATGTTTGGTGAGTTTTATCAAGGGGAAAGATGTTATTGTCCTTCTTCCTATGGAATTTGGGAAAAGCTTAATATACCAGTTAGCCCCATTAGTGGTGCATTACATACGTCACGATCAAATGGCAGCGATTTGTTTGATTAAAAAAGTACCTGCCTACGGTCGAACGAATCCTAATTTCCACGAAGTGAAACCGGCTGATGAACAAAAAAGAAGCAAGCAAGAAGAAGGCATACAAAAACAGACAATGATGCAAACAATCCAGTAAATTATAAAAAAGAAATAGAAAGAAATAAAATAATATAAATAAGGAATAAAATCAAGCTAAAACCAGTCAGGAATGTCAACCGATAAAAATGAGTCTTAAAAAGTGACATGGGTTGATACCATTGGGCCAAGTTACATATCAGATCATTAGAGAGGCGAGCCTGTTCACAGTAAGAATGCAAGGTTTTAGGTAAATAAAAAAAAAAAAAAAGATTTGAGTAAATGCGAGATGAATATGTTTAATGCTTTGGGACATTCTAGACAAAGCAATAACATCTCCATGGAGACACACTGATTGCAGACCCAACATCAAAAAAATAAAAAAAATAAAAAAAAATATTTAGCGCAGGTGGATAGTGGTTAAAATTTGGGGTATAGTTCCTGGAAATATCTTTAAATTCCTGGAAAATTCCTGAAAATGTCTTTAAATTCTTGGAAATGTCTTAAAATCTTTCTGTTTGTAGTGTTTTTCGTCATGTTCTTTCTTTTTTGAAGTATTATAAATAAAATATTATGTCTTTTCTGCTTGTGTGTTGTTGTTGTTGTTTTTTTTTTTTTTTTCAAAGGTTTCAAGGTTTTTGCCACTTTACTATGAAGTGCAGAGTTGGAACTTGGAGAGGAGGTTTCTCCAAAGGGCCTTTAAGGATACAAATGCAGTCAAATCAGAAGCTACAGCAAACGGAAAAGTGAACTACAGCGTCATGGCGCCATCTGGTGTCTACAAATTGTAAATGCACCCGAAAATTTGTGACTTATGGAAAATATGAGAAATAAGGATAAGACGAAGAGGTATTTGCCAACTTGAGCAAAACTTGACGTCCTCTGTGGATCATGGTCAAATGGACATGGTAAATCATAGGAAGAAGCACTCAAATTGATGTATAGGTACTGAAGCAAAAAAGTACCAAGTACAAATAAAAGTATTACATGAAACTTAACTAAAAGTATTAAAGTATCTGTTTAGAATCTATGTAAAGAGTAAAATGTACAAGTGTATCATTCATATTTTGAGGTCTGATTTTGATACAGATTTGTGCTGAATTTTGTTGAACAGAAGCAACTGAATCATTTTGTTGTTGTTGTTTTGTTTTGTTTTCCTCGTGCTATTTTTATTTGCATTACTTGCAGACTTTTCAGCAGGGCTCAAACTATAATAAAAAATACTTTTACTTTTCAGTCCTGTCCATTCAGATCCTCTTACAGTTTATACCATGCAGATCAGATATTTTTTCATTGTCCCAAGAGTCAAAAACTAATTGGAAAACACTCATTTCTCCCTTTGATCAGAACAATCTTTCCTCATCGATTTGTGCATTAACTTCTGTCCCTTCATTTAAAGATGCTCTGGTGTAATATTTACATAATCTGTGTAATTGTTTTTGATCATCTTGTTGACTATTTTGTGACTGTTTTCTGAACTCTGTCTTAGTTTTTGTTCAAATTTGACTTGTCATGTGTGTGTGGGTTGTTGTTGTGTCGATTCGTTTACTGTCTGCCCTACTGTATCTATCTTCCCCGTCAGAAACTAGACGGTGAAACATCTCAAGGGGCTTATCCTCCAAACAAATAAGTAAAAATTCTATAGCCTATACCTTCTTTTCTTACCCACCAGTTATTAATTCTTCTCTGCTCCATCACCTCCAACACCATGGAAAAATCCCACATACACACACAACACAAACTTGTCACATACAATTATAAATCGCTGAAATGTCTCCAGAACATGTTATGTATCGTGTATGGTCACGCCTGTTGTTGTTGTTATAACCACAAGAGGGCAGCACACCACTACTCTTAAGTTGTTCTCTCCTGTGTAGTTCATTACAAGTTACAAGCCAACACAATGAGCAGATTCACAATAAATACTTTATTTCAACATTAAAAATACAATTTCATTTTACAATAAACCTTTCCATAGCTTTGTTTTCTTGACTTGTCTGTCCTATACAGTCTATACATTCATCTGTCCCTGTTAAACACCAGAACACGAGTCAAAAAACATCAAATCAGACCAATTATTTCTTAAATATTTCACCAAACGTACACCACAGATACGTTCTTTGGGCTGATGAGTTGAGTCATGCAGATGTTGAAGCATGGACTACAGTAGCTACAAAAATGTAAATACAATAGCTACAAAAACACAACTGAGAATTCGCAGTTTCCCTAAACATCTCATGGTTTAACGACTGTGCAAAACGTCTGCAGCATAAGTAAGCTCTTTAATAAACTCCTGTAAACTTAAAAAAAAAATTTAAAAAAACATATCCCCTGTTTCTCTTGGTTTAAAATACTCAACTGTCAGTTTGAAACATCACATCACAGTCAAGTTCTGAAAGCATTAATACTTTGCAGCTACATCAAGATTCTCTGGGGGTGTGGAGCTACCTGAAAGCACTACTCTGTTTGAAGCTCTGTTAGTCAAGTTAGACTTCATCTGAGCTTCATTTGAACACAGTCTGACCAGACATAACAGATTTGCTTGGAACTAGAGCAGATGAGCTGATTTGTGCTGTAAAACAAGTCTCTCACACCTAAACTTACACACTCACTCTCACCATTCTTGTAACAAATCAAACACTCAAACAGGACCAAGAACACTATCCATTTTGTATTTTTTCTTGAGTTTTCAGATTATCTTAACCGTGGAAACTGCTATTAGAAATACATTATAAACACCCCCAGCATGATGTCACTGCAAAGTATCAATACACAAATATATTCTGTAAATGTAAAGCAAATGATAAACATAACAATCAGTAACACATTTTCATTTTTGAAGTAATTACATCTGTACTGTACAGTTAAAACTGAAAATCTGAAAATTCCACCATAGAAATCTGACCTGTCATCCAGCTTTATTTTTAAACTAAAGACTTTGTATAATTCTATGGTTTCTGAACACAATCTTTTGGCACAGTCACAGGAGCTTTGTGGCACATTGTACTTAAAGCAACACTGAAGAATATTTCTGCATATCTCCATGGAGACAGTCAAAGAAGTGCCGTAACATTTTCATGAAGAAAAGCAGGTGGTGGATCCTTTTCCAGGCTACGTTACAGGTCAGATCTGTGGATTTTTTTTATTATTTTTTTTAAAGTTCTGCAAGTTTACACAATAAAGTTTGGGATTCACAACTTTTAACACACAATTCAATATGGCATTAAACTTATCTATCACCATGGAGACAAGCAGGTATGATCTATGGAAAGTATGCATGTATTTAAAGCCTTTTTAGCGACACTGATAGAAATAAACTGATATAAGTTTAATGCCATACTGTGGAACATTCCAGGCAAAGCAATAACATCTCAATGGAGACAAGCAGGTGGCGGAAGTTCAACCAATAAATTGAAACTTTTGTAGTATCAAACCATTTTGTAAATCACTTCATAAAGAAATGCCTCCTAAATGAGCCCTGTTCCTTTCCTCCCTCATTTCAAATCACAAAAGCAGCACTGATGAAAATCCATAGCATCATAATACATAATCAGAGGTATTATTTTCATTCACTTTTTATGGAAATTGTGCTTTGGTAAATGCTCACCTACACAATGTATTTTGATGGCACACAGTTCACTTTTATGCTTTCACAGTTGGGGCTTATTTATGATTTCAGGGAGCAGTCCTGAACTGTGGCAGATAGAGCGGAGTCATGCCACAAGGGGCAGCAGAGAGCAGCTCAGTTTTCTCATTTGAGTCCTCCTCAGCATCAAGCAAAGGTATGGAACAGTTTTCTTTACTTAAAATTATGCTTTTTAAGAGGGTATTTTGAGTTTCCTCTTCCGCCTCTTCACTATCTTCTCCATTCAGAGTCAAATAGTACAAGTCTGTTTCTTGTTTATTGTCATCTTCTTGATCGGATGATTCGGAAATTTCTTCTACTGAGTTGTAAGAACCAGAATGGCGTTGGTCCGAATCGCCTGTTTTACAACTCTCCAGCTCCCACAATGCACCATGGGAAGAATCTGAAATATCTGAATTGTTAGCAGAGAAATTACCTTCATCACAAGAGCTACAACCACTGCCGTCCTGGAAGAGCTGCTTCAGTTTAGGGTCAGAAACCACCGTTGCGTAATTAACCGAACACTGCGCAGAATCGTCTTTAGTAGCGTCCAAAATTTCTGAGGAAACTGAAGTAGTAATTTCTGAGTTTAAAACATTATCCATTGACTCTTCGGACAGTAGTTTCTCATTGTCTGGTGGATCAAAATTCAACGCGATATCAGACATAGCGGGGTTCAGCGGAGGTTGGACCAGAGCTAAGGGGTCGGTCTTGTCCACGATGACCACAGTAGAAATGCTTTCGGCGGGCAGGAGTAGAGGCCAAGCTGGGAGGGTATCTGGAGCTCTGAGGAGGTGGTCAAATGAGTCCATCTAAAACAATAAAATAAAATGTGAGTTATATCAATATTTGGGGTTTCATTAAAGGTCCTATATTACGCAAACCTGACTCTTGTGAGCTTTAAGACATGTTATAATGCTGTTACCTCATCAAAAACATACCTGGAGTTGTGTTTTGTTTCATTCACACATGTTTGAGTAATACTTTATTATTAGTCTGTTTACATCTCCAAAGCTCAGAATGCTCAGTTCCACCTTGTGCTGTCATGAAGCAGTAGTTTACAAGTTAACAGCTACCTTTTTCCATTTTGTTGAGTGAAGATTAGAAATTTTAGGACTGAAATTGTCAAAATGAGAATAGTGAAGGTGTGTGTAGTATTTCCTGTATTAACACATGACATCATAAGGTGGAAAATAGTGTTTTCTGTTTGAGAGAAAATGTGTCTAAATATACAGAGTGTGAATGACAAAAAAACAAACAAATAACTCCAGGTATGTTTTGTGATGAGGAAACATAACATAGATCAGAAAATAGCGTAATATGGGTCCTTTAAAGTGCATATGACATGACAGTTTTCATTTAGTTTGCTGGGGTAGTATCTGAGATAAATGTTTATCATAATGTTACATCAGTTAAGTGTTAGTTTGTGGGGAAAAAAGATAGACGAGAAGAAAAGTATAAAAATACAGGAAGTCGTGGGTTCAAAAACATAGCACCTCCATCTGTGTCATCAACACTAAAAATTCCACAGAAAATGCAGAAGTTCACACCCTCACTTAACTAAATGAAAGTGATAAAAATACATGACAGCAGTCTAAACATAACTACTGGGTCATTTAGACATGATTTGTTTTTTATTATTATCGTTATTGTTATAGATAACAGTTATGGATTTACCTCTACGTAGTCATTTGTGCTGCCCATGTCCAACTAGGAAGTTTAAAAAAACAACAAAAACAAAAATAAAATGATAAACTAGAACAAATGAGTATGAGTATGAAATAAATGCGCTAACTGGTCATATGCACTTTAAAATATTTCATTAAATACATTCTTATAAATTGTTTGTTGTTTTGTTTGAATCATATATTAAAATTTTACCTTTCTGAAGTCAACTCCCTTGGCCCAGGAGCAGTTGTTCGGGTTGGGCACGTCTTTCCACACAATTTTCTTCATTCTGTGGATAAAAATAGACATTATCATTCACATTCACTGCTTTTGTTTCCCTGTTTTGCGCACACAGTCTGCCTCTCCTGCCCCCGTCAGCTCCATCAGTGTAATTACGCCCTCATGACCTGTTAAATGTCATTCTACTAAATCTTCATCTTCATGTGTCTAAGATGCCTGATGAAGACAGCAACAGAGATTAACACTATTAATCATGTCATATAGGTCACAAGAATAAAAGAAAGAAAAAAGGGGGAAAAAACATACAAATAAATAAAAACTAAAAATTAAGTTAAAAATAAAAATAAATTGGAATATTATTGTTTGCTGTGTTAATGTCTGTCTGTCTGGATTTGTTTATCACAAAGACTATGAATAAAAAGAGAGAAAAAGCTAAAATTAAATTCAAAACCAACTGGATAATGAATCAATTCTCATCTGTGTCACAAAAATTTAAATTAACATTAAATACTCACTGGTTTTGGGAGAGGACCAAAGTGACCAACAGCACAACAGACAGAAAGGAGATGATCAGAAGGAGCATGAAGGCACGAGGCTCCCTCCTCACTGCTGCACAAATAATACAGACAGTAAATGTTAGAATCTCATTGACAAAAATACTAATATTTTAAAAAAACTGGACTAAAATCAAAGTATTTTTAAGTACACATCAAGTAGCACAGCGATAGGACAATTTTTTTTTAGATGCCTTCCACTCACAACTAGAAATAAATGTGACTGGACTGTTTTTTTTATGCTGTGTTCTTCTGATGTCATGTGGTAATATCGGAAGTGCTCCATTGTGTTTTCAAACTCCATTCACACCTTCACTAGAATCATTTGGATAATTTCAGCCCTAGAATTGCCAATCTCTGCTAAACAAAAGGTAAAAGGCAGCAGTTTACTTGAAAACTACCGCTTCATGATGTCCCAAGGTGAAACGGAAAATTTTGAGCTTTTGAGATGTAGACAGACTAATAATAAAGGCTTACTCAAATGTGTGAATGAAACAAAACACAACTCCAGGTATGTTTTTCATTCTAACATGACTTAAAGCTCACAAGAGTCAGTTTTACATAATATAAGACCCATTTAACACCAAATTAGTCAAATTAATTCCTTCAAACCTCCTCCATTGAAAAAACTCAGCTGATCACCGATTATTTGAAATGATTTGATCTCAATTCAATTAAAATTCAATTAACTGCACAACCCTAGACTACAGTAGGCAATAAATATAAAGTGTATTGCTTAAAGACACAACATCAGGATGCACTTTTGTTCACCTGACATATTGTGACAGTGAGCTATACTTGTGTCATTTCAGCATTTGCATGTTAAGAAGTTACACTGTGTGACAACGCCAAAGGTCGTGCTCTTATGTGTGTACTCAGTGACTCACGTAGCCCGTTGAAAAAATGAACTAACCTCGAGTGTGAACTGGCTGTCCTTCCCCGTCCGCAAACACAGGATACAAATAGAAATCGTACTCCTCTGAACCGAAGAAGTCCCCTGCAAAAGTCAAGATGGAAGAAGTAGTAGTAGTGAGATGGGTGTTCCAGATTAGAGTTGATAAAAAATAGATGGCAGGGGTGAGACAAGATACAATTTCCGCAAAACAAGATGAGACACGAGACTGGATTAACGAGAATGAGATAAAACAAGATTTTGACATCCTTTGTAATAAATAAATTGTACAATCCAGTTCCCAATTTTGACCTCATTATTACTTTACTATTATTAATTTATTGAATATTTTTGCTGCCATTGTAAGACTACAGCTTCTCAAAAAATCTTACTCACCAGTACTTTATTTTGTTATCCAATTCAAACATAAAAATATGGAAAAAAAATCTCATAACATCATTTTCAGCATGTGTGCACAAGCTCGTGGCAATTTTGTCTCATAAGATCTTGTGGAACGAGATCTTGTCTCATCCCTAATATACAGAATAAATGTTATGCTATACTAATGTTGTCACAATATTTGATTTTGATACTTAGGAATAGACTAACAGACCAGATATTAATACTAATACTGATACCACGATGATAATAAAATAAAAAAAACGTGTTATTTAGACAATAGAATAAGGTGCAACTTTTTGGTTGGGTTTCCGTCGCCTGACCCTTTCTATGGATATGTCATTGCTCTGCTTAGAATGTTCCACAGTATGGCATTAAACAATTCTACTTACATTTATTCCATTACAGGTGGTTTTGTAATTCAAAAATACCTAGAAAAAGAGGTATTCTGACTGTGAGTGGGGTCACCTCTCCACAGATCTGACCAGTAACTTGGTCTAGCTTGGTTTGCATGATGATAGAAAGGTTTAATGCCATACTGTGAAACATTCCAGAACAAAGCAATAATATCTCCATGGAGAAAACCATTTGACGGACCTTCCACCAGAAAAGTTTCTTTTAAATAACAGTACTTCTGTTTATATTAGGTTCCATAGTATTCCAAGGGAGCATACTAGTCTATGTGCTCTTATACTTGTTCTGATACAGCTCAATATCATCCTAAATCTATTCTGGAAAAAAATCATATATGTCCTGTGAATGTGACTTTTTATTATCAATACTTTCTCAAATGAGTATCTATAGTCTTGATATTAATTTTAGTATCGCCACCTTTATACATAGGTAAGATGGGCGAAGTGTCATGGCCAAGGACACCGCTGAGTCACTGCTGCAACTAGTCAGAAATGAATCCATACAAAAGGCTTCAAAATCATAAAAAACACATTTGAATACAGAGTGGGCATTACCTCGTATGTGTACAGGTGGGTCAGTGTAGCTCAGCCTCCTCCATGTTACGGAGCTTTTGTGGTTCTCTGGGTGTGAGTGAGTCCACTGTAAAACCAGAGACTGAGGCACAGAGCTGCTCTCCAGGACAGACCAGGACACAGACACACAGGAGCTATTCACCAGGAACACATGGAAGGAACGCACAGCCCGGCCTGCAGGGGGAGACAGAGAGCAGGTGGTAAAAGGCATTAAAGGTACATTGTGAAACTTTTGTAATGAGAGGG